TTCTTCTTTTTTCTGGAAAAATGCCTCATTTGCAATATTTATTTCAAATTTTTACCCCATGTTTCCCTCGCTAATCAATTTCTTTCTTTCTTTTTTTTTTTTTTTTGGTACCCTGGTCCTTTAAATTTTAGTTCTCAGCTTTTACCTCAAAAGAAGTTTCCTCCAAATGAAATGAGAGGGAAAGCCTGACTCTTCATTTCGTAGCGGTCACAGTCATTAAGCTGGACTTTTTAACACTGAAAAATCCTTACAAGTATTTTTTAATTTGTTGTTTTAAGGTGTGAATTAAAAACTTCAGTCATGGAGTTAGCCCACAGTTTATTGCTAAATGAAGAAGCTTTGGCTCAAATCACTGAAGCAAAGAGGCCAGTTTTTATCTTTGAGTGGTTGCGATTTCTTGATAAAGTCTTGGTTGCTGCCAACAAGGTATGGTATTGCTTTGCTTTTTCCTCAGCTGGGTTAACATAATCAAGAGTATTATGTGTTGAAAGCATTTTTGGAAAGGTTGTGGGTCACTTAGGGAACTAGAGGATATTACACTGGAATAGGAGTTTCTTGTCTGTACTTTTTCTATTCTGTGGCAAAACCCAAAGCTCCTTGAAACCCACTTGTTGCCTGCTTCCTGCCTCCACCTGGACAGCTGCATGTGGCTGGAGAAGAGCATGGCTAGGTCACTGCTGTCACTTTAAATTCATTATTTCCAAATTCAGGGCCCTCAGTGCTGTCTAGCAATCCCAGTATCTTCATTATCTCGCCGAGGAGTTAATAATAGACTTCTCTTTTCTTAGTCTTCGTAGTCTATTTCATTACCTGTGTGTTGCTTTTTATTTCCGTATGTTTTATTTACTGTCTTTAAAATTAGATGCGTTCCTCAACCACCTGATGGACTTTGGCTGTCTGCTCAAATTTAAGAGTGAGAAGTGAAAAGCTTTCTGGGCGGGGTGAAGTTTGTTAGTTGTGCTTCACCAGAGGCCAGTCCGGTTCTTTGAGGAACCCTGGACATTAGTATCATAGGTTTCTCTTGGCTGGTCATTCCCCAGAAGAGACTTTTTTACTTTTGTGTTCTAGGGTGTATGACTAACTAGTTCCCTAGGGAGGAGGCTAGGGACTTCAACATTCAGATGTAAACTTCCACTTAGCTCCCCTGTTTTCAGTGCCATTTTCCCAGCCTGTAGTCATGCCTGGGCTCCGTAAGTGCAGAATAGAAGAGAGAGATAAAGGAGTCTTACAGCTTCTTAGATTCTCAATCATTCCCTCCGTTTCTAGGCCCAACTTCACTATTCCATAAGCGCCTTAGAGCCTCAAAACAACAACAAACAGCATGAGCTTTTAAGGGATTTTTTGTTGTAAGTTGGGTCTCTTCCCAGCTTTCCCTGTTGGGGATACCTGGCTTCCATATTTTGCATTGATTATTTTCCTGTTTACTTTTGTGGATTTGTGTGTTTTTTTGTGTGGGTTGCTTTTAGTATAGTTTTAGTAAGATTTTCTTTCTTTCTTTTTTTAAACCCTCACCCAAGGACATGCTTAGAGAGAGGACGTGGGGACGGGGAGTGAGAGAAACATCAATGTGTGAGAGAGACATCAATTGATTGCCTTCCCTCACCCGGGATTGAACCAGCAACCCTTTGGTGCACAGGGCGATGCTCAACCAACTGAGCCACTCCAGTGGGTTTTAGTAAGGTGTCTTTAACCGGACGTTTCTGTTTTCTCTTAAACCCCCTCCAACTGGGTATTTGTTTCCTCTGCTCCACTGAAACAGCTCTTTTCCAATCATTAGTGATCTCAAATTGCCCAAACCAGTGGGTCAGTGTTCTGTATTAATTTACAGAGTTGATCTTCTACCTGAAACAAATACTTTTTATTTTGTTGTGAAATTGAAAAATACAAAAGAGTATATATAAAGCTACCTAAGTTATGAAGCATAATGATATGAACATCTGTGCACCCTCCATTCACATTAAACAATAGATCGCTATCCTTGCTGTGGACGTACACAGCGTGCAGTTCTCCTATTCGTGGTTCCCAAGACACCGTTTGCTTTCAGTTCTCTTCCTGCCTCACTGGTTACTCCTCATTCCCTTCTGTTGGTTCTTTTCTCATTCCTGGGTAGCTTGTTGCTTCTTTTTAAAAAAATCTACCTATACTTATTCTTACAGTGATATAATCTAATCTCCAGTTTTACTGCCATATGTACAGTAATAACTCCCAGGTATCCAATGAGACACTCTACCTCTTTCTCTTGGCTATCTAAACAGCATCTTGAAGTTAACATATTCAGAACCAAACTCTTGATTTCCCTCTTCCAAACGTGTCCTTTCCCCAGTGCTCTTCATCTCAGGAAATGACCATTTCATCCTTCTAATTGCTCAGGTCTTAAACCTTAGAGGCATTCTTGACTTCTCTCTTTTTCTCAAATTTTACATCATAATTGTCAGCAAGCCCTATTGGATCTACCCACTCAGTCTATCCATAATTAAATTACTTTCCATCTTCTCCAATGTTATTCTCATCTCTCATCTGGATTATTGCAAAAAGCTTCCTAAGTGTGCACCGTGCTCCCAACATGTACCTTGTAGAATATTCTTAGCTCAGCAGTCAGAGTGAGCCTGTTAAAACATTTAGATCACGTCCCTCCTCTGCTTCATGCTCTCAGAATAAAATCCAAAGTTCTTACGATGATGTATTAGGCAGGACACAATCTGGTCCCTTCTATCCTTCTGATCTCATCTCCTACTACTTCCTGTCTCTTACTCTGCTCCAGCCAAACTGGCCATCTCACTGTCCTCAAGCATGTTAAACATGCTCCCTCCTCCAGGCCTCTCTACACAGTTTCCTCTCCCTGGAATGTTCCTCTCCCAGATATTTGCATATTTCACACCTTCACTTCCTTTCAGAGATGCCTTTCCTCACTAATCTACGTAAAATAGTAAACTCACATTATTCATTTTGTTTATTTGGTAAAGTCTGTGTCTCCCCTCTAGAATGTAAATTCTAGAGTTCACGGTTGCCTAGAATATTCATGCCTAGAAGAGTGCATGGCATATAGTAAGTGCACAATACATATTTCTTGAATGGGTGAATGAATTTTTAGTATTGATTATGGATCTGAATATTTTTTCTGTTGCCTAGGGCTCTTTCAGAGTTTCTTTTTATTTCCTTTACTGACCTATAACTTTTTGGACTACTGACTTTGCTTTTAAAGGGGAGTTTATTTGGATTCTAAGATATCAGTTATCTATATGCCCAATATTTTACATCCTTGGACTATTGGTTTATTTCTTAGTAAATTGGCATGGGAACTATTGGGTCTAGAGTAGTTATTTTTATTGACAGCTGACTTTTGGCTTTGGAGGGGAATGAGAGAGACTATTTTATCTGGTAAAGAATGATTCATTTCTTGCTAAACTCTTCCTTATCTTGAAAATTCTCACTTGTTTTATGCTGAATGTAATATAGATTTTAATTATTAGAATGCCTTAACTGTTAAGTATTTTTTA